CTAGTATCAAGTAATAAATCAATATTAGAAACTTTTAATTGTATATTACATTAATATATAATTTTTTATATTATTTGCATTTATTATATTTATTAGATCTTTTGGAAAACTATGTGTATCTGCTGATCAAAAGTGGAAAGCCATATTTAAACAATGTTATCAACAACTTGGCATATCCGAATCTCTCACTAAAAGTTCTAATTACAATGAAAAATCTGTAGAAACACAAAGAGTATGGCAAAATGTTGCTAGTATAATAACAAAGTCTCATCAAAAGACATTACAACGAAAAAAACTCTCTGCTAATAATGCCTCAAACATGAAGGAAAGAAATAGTGAGACAATTGATCAGTTAGATAAGATACCGTGTTTCGGACGGGATAAACTCACTAGTCAGACTTACAACGAAGTTCACAAATATTTAGTGAAAGCTTTCGAAAGTCCGCATCATCCATTGGGCGCTCTTTTGACAGAAGTAGCTGCGGTATATACGGCTACTTATGGTGGAGTGAGAGTACATCCGTTATTACTTAGTCATGCAGTATCGGAGCTGCACAGTATTACAACAAGGATATACGAGATTGTGCTTCTTTTATTCCCGGCTTTACCACGCTGTGGCAAAGAATGCATTCTTGAAACTGATAGTGAAGAAGAGTACGTATTATAAGATTTATACTACAGATTATATCTGATATTTCGAAAAAGTTGTACAGATGTAATTTATAGATTCATTTATTTTCAGACAAGTTATAAGCGCTGCTGCGATACTTCATCCGATATTACTGCCACGTGTACATTCAGCACTTTTTGTACTGTATGCCTTACATAATAAAAAAGAGGATGACGCATATTGGGAAAGATTAATGAAATGGAATAAGCAACCTGATATAACTCTGATGGCCTTTCTTGAAATTGATCAGTAAGCATAGTAGATTTATAACTGATGGAAGAAATAAATTATTATCTATAGAGATTTGATTTGATTATAGATGATAATTCTATTTGTATTTTACGTATTTCTAATGATTTGTAAAATTGTAGGAAATTCTGGAAGACTACAAACGTAATAAACATTGCAGACAATTCATTACCATATCAGCATGAACCTTACTTTAGTGATGCTATAGAAACTTTACAGCAACTCAAAACAACTTTTTCGCCTTTAGAAAAGCTGTTAGTGGTCAGAAATACATTTGAACAAATGACACAAGTAAGGATATATAAACAATATCATGAATATTAGGACTATTTATGATAAATATGTTTAATTATATTATTTATATCGACTCATATTTAATAGGCAGTACAAAAACAACTAGGATCTACATATTTATGGACGATGGATGAACTATTTCCAGTGTTTAGTTTTGTTGTAGTACGTGCTAGTGTATTGCAATTAGGGAGTGAAATACATTTTATCGAAGATTTCATGGAGCCATATTTGCAAAATGGAGAGCTTGGTATTATGTTCACCACTCTTAAGGTGAGATATAATTATAATAAATAGGGATAAAATAAAAAGAAAACAAAGAGACAAATAAAATTAATTAAATTAATTAAAATTAATAAAATTAATTTCATTATACACAGGCATGTTACTACCAGATATTACAAGAAAAAACAAACATGGGCGATTGAAAACAAAAATTGAAATCAATAAAAGGATTAGTACAATAAGATGGTAAATATGTATAGACATAAGACATGTATCCGTAAAAGTAATATTATATTCATTTAAAAGACAGACAGGATAAAAATAATTTTGCATGACAAAAAGGTATTATGTATTACAATTAACTAAAGTGATAAATTGCATTTATAATACATAATGTAGCCCTTAGCATCTTGATTATATTAAAGTGCTGAAACATAAAATGGAATAAGAAACGACATGACATATCATTTCATTAGAAAAGATTTGTCAATGTAAAATGTATATAAGTTTACTATTAAAAAATATTTGTCATTGGCTAATGTTTTGCAACTAGGAAACATTTGCGTCACATATAAAATATGTCGCTATATATCAATACCAGTCACATATAAAAGTTAAAGTTGAGTACTTCCAATTATCTGTTGTCAAAAAATATTATGCATTTTTTGCAAACAGCCATATGAAGTACATAGCTCAATATTGTGATAAAAAAATGAAAAGTTACCTTTTCTCTTCCACATACCTGAATTAGAGATTAGCCGTATAAAAGCGATTATTATTCATATTTTGTACATTCTTTTGCAACATTATCACAGAAATACTTTAAATCTTTTTATTTATGTTACCTCTCTTTCACATATAATTTGTTCTTAAAATGTAAATATCACTTTTAATAAAATTTCTGTTTAAAATATAATCTAAACCACATACAAGTCACTTTCTTCAAAATTTATATATTAATTGTGAATTAAAAAAAGTTATATATCATTAATATATAACTATTGTAACACACATGAATGAATACAAAAAGAAAGAAAATTGCTCTTTAAAATAACAATAAATGATTTTCTTATGATAATGTATGCAAATAGTATTTCCATCCTATAATTTGCAGAAATATATATTAAATATCTGTTTGCTAACAGATGTATACATGTGTAGACCGTTGATAAATGTATGTATAGTATAGTAAGAAATAAGGCAGTATACACACATATATATATATATATATATATATATATATATATATATATATATATTCAATTGATATTAAAATTTGAATTGAATAAGTTATAGTAAAAAAATTTGTAATAGTATTAGTTTACTTATTTGTTATTTTAAACTTTTAAAATACGAATATATTGCATAATTAATATAGGATAAAGAGTTTAAAGACAAGAAACTTTATAATTTATTATTATTTCATTGTGCGCTGTTATTGTATATGTATATGTATGTGTTTCCCCGAACATACATATATATTTTATTTTACTTTCATTTCATTTATATATATATATGTGATATTAGTTAAACAAAACGCTTACTAATAACTCTAGCATGTACCTGAAACATATTCTTTATATTAATCCGGAAGAGTTTGCTATATTTTAACATTTATATTTATCTCTCTTGAATTTTTATATATTTTCATCTACTTATATAAAAGCAAAATATATCAAAAAATAATAATCTAATTATTTGCTTATCTTATCAATTATTAAAAACTGACTATGAAATGGTTTAATTAAAGTTTCATTAATTAAAATGTTACATATATTTCTCAATTTTGTGAACTCTATCAGATTAATATATTAAGTATATACAAAAGTACAATAATTGTTTACAATATGCTATACACTTTTTATGGTATGTTCATTACGACCATTAAGAAATCAAACTGTTAGTATCAAATAATATGATATAAAATATCATCACACAGTAAATATAGTAATTCATACCTATGTTTGGAAATATTCTATAATTAAGATATCTTGGGATTAAAACTTATTGCATTAATCAGTTTTAATTTGCCTAATATGACAGAAATTCTAAATTTTTGAAGTATCTATAATAATTATTTAATTACTTTTTTAATAAAAATACTTGAAAATAATACGTAATAAAATATATATTAATATTATATTTAATATTATGTAAATATAAAAAATTTATTGATTGGATAATATATTGCAGATGTGTATCTTTTATTGAAAATCACAAAAGGTGTAAAATGTGTTTTACTTTCAGTATAGAATGTTTCAGAACAAAATTAAAAGCCCAAGAAGAAGTTTGTAACAACATGATATGTTAAATATAACTCGCATTTTTTAAGTGATGTAGTAGGGTGATGAATGAAGTTGAATCTATTTATGAGAATTCTGCAATTATAACTAGTATAGAAAAAAATAAAAGATTACACAGATATAAAATAAAAACGTAAAAGTTATGCAATATATGTTAATACATGTGCGTATATAGATTATCATGTAGTTATATAAGTTAAAATCCGATTTATATACTTTTTAATGCCTTTCTTTTGTAATACAATACTCTTCAAATGATAGCATTGCGTATGTATTAATATATAGTTTCAAATAATTAATACAATATTCTATTATTTGTATTGAAATAAACATATATTACACAATATTATTATATATATATATATATATATATATATATATATATTATATTTAAAAATTTGACAGATTATGTTAATAATGTTAACAATTATTTATTCACGGATATTATAAAAACATGAAAATTCAAAAGCAAATATATAGAAGCAGTACAATATAAAAATAATTTATTTATAAAAATAATTGTGAGAAATATGATGTCATGAAAATATATATTCTTCTGCTATCACTACTCATCTGTATTTTTAATCTATATCATGATATTCCGAATCACACACATATGGAACAACGTTTGAATAATAAAAATTCGAAAATTAAAATTATGCACGTAATAAAAATTCAAGGATTAAAATTATACACGTAATAAAAATTCATCAAGAATTAAAATTATGTATACATAAAAATTCAAGGATTAAAATTATATGTATATAAAAATTCGGAAATTAGAATTATGTACACAATAAAAATTCGGGGAATTAAAACTATGAACATAATAAAAAAAAAAAAAAAAATAAGTACCGACTATATATTACCGACTGAAAAGAAGCATATTTATAAATTTATTTCTAAAATTATCTGATAAGACCTCAATTAAACGATAGAAGAAAAAAAAAAGCTTTTTGAAAGGTACTTATTTTTTTTTTTTTTTATTATGTTCATAGTTTTAATTCCCCGAATTTTTATTGTGTACATAATTCTAATTTCCGAATTTTTATATACATATAATTTTAATCCTTGAATTTTTATATATATATATTATATTATATATTAAATATATATATATATATATATATTTTATATATATATATATATATATATATATATATATATGTATGTATAAGACATAAGAAGGAAAATAATATAAATACAAATATTAAAAATCAGAAGTCTAAATATTTAGCTGAATAAGTGTCGAGTTGCTTATTAATGCACTTTTTAAGTTAAAAGAAAATGTATGTATACACATGCTGATGAGCTGATGCATGCGTGATCACGTGGGAAATGCGAAGTGGTATTAGCGGCGCAAAAGCAAGAGAGGAGCAGGGATAGTTTCCGTTTTACACAACAGTGATACAATTCCGAGAATTTTATTCGTAATATAAATAACGGATATAAATTTTAATTGTAAATGAGAAACATCGGTAAACCTAACGAGTTCTTGAAACGGATAGAATAGCTGCTGGAAGATGCACTGTATAACCTAAAACTTTGTGAGCACAAACTAATCCTATATTTAAAATTGTACAGAAAACAATTTCTTATAAGATAAGAAACTTTGCAGTATCATCGCGTTTGTATAAACGATAATATCCAAATATTGTGAGTATTTTAATTAGCCAAATAACATGTAGCGATTATTTCGCTTATTTCATTAAACAAAACTTCTCTAACAATATGATCTTTTTCATGTAGAATCTATCTTCTTGAGGAAAAAGTTTATTATATATACAGAAATCATGTCAAAACGTAAATTTGATGATATTGAAGAGGCAGCTGACAAGCAACCACTTAAAAATTCACTGGATTCCGATGAAGACGATGATGAAATAAATGAAGATGCTTATAATATCATGAACGAGGATGAATTAGAAGGTATTTGTTTGTATAATGTAATCTAGATAGATTAATATAATTTATTATTTTCTTATTTTTTCTTATTGTGATCATTCTTATTTTAATAGTGTATAGTTGTATATTTAATATCTATACCGAATAATGTAATTATGGACCTGTAAAATAGGCACAGAAGATGGACCCTCAGCACCAGAAACAAATGTAGGATTTACAGCGTTTAATATGAAGGAGGAATTGGAAGAAGGCCACTTTGATAAAGATGGCCATTATCTTTGGAATAAAGACAAGCAAATAAAAGACAACTGGTTGGATAATATCGATTGGGTCCAAGTTAGTATGATGGATAAAGATAATATATAATGAGCAAATAGATAAATATAATAAAGTCTATCTTTCTATTCTAATCTATTAAATAGTTCATTTATATAAAAGTATAATTTTTTTTTGTATTAAGAAAATTGGTTTATATTTTAATATTTTAAATAGTTTCTTATTTTATAATATATATAATGTAATGTAAAATGAGGTAATATACATTTTTTCTATTCACATATAAAATAAATATCTTTCAAAGGTTAAACCTGGTTCCACTACTAATGTACAAAAGAAGGTCAAATCAAATGAAAGCCATGGATTGGGAGATAGCGATAGTGATAGTGATGCTGGAGATATTATGTTTGATCCTATTCCATTATATAAACAGATTTTAGAATTTCTTAAACCTGGTGAAACTGTTTCTAAGACGCTATGCAGACTTGGTAAACATAATTGCTAATATGGAGCGTACATATTCAAGCTATTATAAAATAAATACAAATTGTCCCAATCCAGGCAAAGGGAAAAAGAAATTAACTACAGCTGAAAGATGGAAAAGGAAAAAGGAATGTAAAACAAGTGATGAAGAAGACCCGAATTCTGTAAGCATAACCAAATTAACTGAGCTAGCAAATGAGTTATTGACACGTACTGGTAATATGGATATATATCAAGAAAGTTATGAACAAATAAAAAAAAAGGTAATATAAAAGTTATATATATAAAAATTATATTATTAATAAATTATGTATATATGTATAATTTATATATATATATATATATATATATATATATATATATATATATATACACACACATTATATATAATTTTTATTATAAGAAATACCTTTTTTTGTAGATTAATGCTGGCAATAAGCATGCATGTCCTTCAAAGCAAGAAGCAGAACTGGATATGTACGCTGATGATTTTGATGAAAAGGAAAAGGCAAAACTGGACGACACTAATAATGGTCTGTAATACAACATATTAGCGACAAATACTTTCATATTGCTTATTATCATTTCTATTATATAGAAATATTTTTATGAGAGTTTTGATCCATATTTTTGTACATATGTATATATATATGTGTAGATAAGACAGCAGACTCAACTAGTGCGGAAGAAAGTACATCTTTAGCAGAAAACGTAACATGGAATTTGAAATGGTCACAAGATGAAGATGCAGAAATACATGGGCCTTATACTACTCAGCAAATGCAATCGTGGGCAAAAGAAGGATATTTCAAAAAAGGTGCATGGGTCAAAAGAACTGGACAACAAAATCAATTTTACAATGCTGCTAGAGTAGACTTTGAACTTTACCTGTGACACTTCTATATCCAGTATACATAAAAATGTCAATAAATAAATATATAATTTGTCAAAAAAAATTCGACAAATCTTAAAATATTTTATAGAAGTAGTATACATATATATTATAATATTGATAAGTAAAATTTTCACGCAAAATAAGAATAATCAAGTAATTATCCTTATTTGTGAATAAGTATTCCACAAATATCTGTACAAATTTACAAAAAGGAAGTCACGATACGCAATCTAAGAGATGACTTAATTATGTTTTAAATCTTATAAGAAAATCCCTTGCCTAATTATAAATAAAACATTTTTCTATAATAAAACATTGCAATTTTTTACATTCTGTTATAATATTTTTAATTATGTAATTTTTATATCTGTTAAAAAAATTACAAAGAATCAACAAATGCATGAGAAATTATTGCAGCTAATAAATATATTAATTTAGATAATAAATATTTATATTAGCTAATAAGTATATATTTAGATATTCATATAATTTAAAATAATTACTAGTTTTTTATATCTTTATTATTTATTAAAACAACTGTAATATATATAACATAATAATGTGTAAATTAGAAAAATTATAAAAAATACTAAAAAATGATAAAAATAATTATTTTGTAAAACATTTAATTTTACAATATAATGATAATATTTAGATAATTTTTCCCACAAATTTAGAAACCATTTGAAACAATACTTAATTGAAGAACTATTATTTTGTATGTAAAAGACATTTTGATTGCTAATATTTGTTTATATTATTTCCGAATACATATAATGCAGTAGTATGAGCATTTATGCCTTTTTAAATTCACGCGCTTTTTAAATACTAAAGACGTCCGATTTGATCACATCTTCGCGTAATATGTTCTCCTAATGCATATTTCTTCGCAAGATATGTTCACCGTGTCATCTCTCGCATGAGTTAATAGCAAAACATATGTGGCAAAGAGATGTATTAGGGGAACATATGATGCAAAGAGATGATCAAATCAAGCGATTTTAGAACTTTTGAAAGATAAATTACTGCTTGTAAACTATTTTACCGACTGAAGACAAGTATAGTTGCACTTTTTTAAATTATGGTTATCCTGATAATATTTACAAGATGGCCGCGTAATTCATGCATAGGTGCAATGATTTTGTACGCCGCTTGTACATTATTTATATGCATATTTTTCAGTTGATTATTAAAAATTGTCTGGCGTGGTACTTTAAGAAAAAAATTCATACTTCAGATTTCTTGCGTATTTCTATATATTATTAGAGTGAAAACATTGAAATTTCTGACTCGCAGAGAATGTAAAGTATTTTTAAATGGAATGTTATCTCTAAAATAAATCTATTTGTACTTTAACTAGTAGAGTAAAAAACTCTTTCTTTAAAAAAAATTTTTATATTTATTTTGTACATTCCGAAGGATAGCAAATTACTTTCTTCGAGTAAAAAATAGATTATTTTCAGAATATAGATTATTGCCAGACATAAAAATTTATTTAAAAAGATAAATTTTTTAAATATATATTTATAAATTTAATATAAAACAATTAAACTCACCCATTTGCTCTTTTTCTCGCTCTCTCATTAATTGTTTTTTATAGATGCATTTATAAATGCAGTAGTTGCTCGCAATTTTGTACTGTGCAAAGCTAAACACGAAAGAAAGAGAATTATACATATATTTCGGCTAATATAGATCACACAAAGATGTGCAAACAAATGATAAAGGGTGATTTTTTTTAAATAAACATTTAAATAAATATAAGACACATATCAATGTAATAAATAACAAATTGATGAAGTACTTTGAATTTTTGTGTGTGCATATGTTAATAGATAATTGGCATGTTTTTTTTTACTGAATATAATTTTATTAAACGTCTTAAACATTTTTATTAGCAATGTATGAAATTTTTATGTATAATTACTTAAAATATTACTTCAAGTATATTTTCTTCGCGTACACGCAAAAATTGTTCAGACATGAATATCTGAGAGTATACGTGTGCATGCATATATATTTATATATATATATATATATATAGATTTGTATATATTTCTATATATATACAAGATGTCTCCTCTCTTTTCTTTACGTTTATGCTCTGCTGAAAGATTCTTTGATTAATTTTGAATCGATTTTCTCTTGATTGATACTATATGCATATTATTACACTGTTCTTGTAATTTTTCAATGTTCAGTATTAATTATAGCTTGGGGAGTAACTTTGGTTTTAATTAAAGTTCTGTTTGAGTAAAGTCTACTTGGAATGTATTAAAATTCAAAATTTTAATGCATATTAGCAAGTTTCTAAGTTTAATATGAGAGAATCTTTAATATGAGAGAATTTTTGATCGTTGGTAAAAATAAAAATTATTAATTAATATTATATAAATGCCTCGACTCTTTGATAAGAAAAAATCAATTTTAAACTCTTCGAAGAATCAGTCTCTTTTTCTTTCTTTTTTTTTTTTTAGGTGCAGCATAATCGCAAATCTTGGAACACCTTGTATATGCACGTATATATTTTCGCAAGTATAAATTCATAGCTCATCTTGAAAAGTCAGAAGAATTTCTAGCGGAGTGTTAAACGTATAGAAGACCGAAAAGTATCTATACTAGATTATAATGAGAACTATATGAATCGATCCTTTCGGTAGCTACACGAGTCGATCGTAATTGTGAAAGAGTTTAAATATAACTACATTACTAAAAGTGCGGTGAAGTACATGCAATGTACACCCGTTGCTTATCAAACCCAACATATTTCGTGCGTTTAATAAGTTTATTAATAATAACATGCTTTTAATCAAGATTGCAACCATTCGTCTTCTGTAAATTCACACGATATTTAACAATGAATAAAAACTGTTCTTGAACAACAGATTTTTCACTTAATTGCAAGATAGATCTTGCATCAAATAATAATAATTAAAAGATTCAAACGCGCATAGTACATTAAGCAAAATAGATTGTTTTTCCAATTATGACCTCTTCAATTAGCTATTAATTTAATTTAAATAAAATGACTCGATTACACGTATGTACATGTATAATTTGAATTTAAATAAATTCATCATATATCTTACGAAAAAAATATTTAGATTTAAAAATTTCTTATTAGAAAATAAAAAGATAAATGGAAAATAATAATATTACATTTATTTATTAAAATGGTAAATATGTATTTTTTTATATCGTTAGATGTCGTATTGAATTATTCACAAAAAAGAGAAAAAACATAACATTTCTTTTGATTCTTCCGATTGGTATAAGTTAATTCAACATTTCGCAAATGCAAAACTATTTTCATCGAAATTTGCTTGCAGAAATACGAGATTACACGAAGCAAGGTGGCGAAGGGTACATTGCATTCCATTCACGCGTGTCTACGAAACAAGTACTTTGGTCTTTTCCAAGCTGAAAGGACGCGCGCAACAGCCGGAGAGAGAGAACACATAGGGGACGACGTTCGGACGAGGGCGAAAATAGGGTAAGAACATATACGACACATACGAGAGAGCGGACAAATTACATGCCGGTTTCATATACACGCGCACGCAAAGGAAAAGGCAAGATCCCGTAAGAGCTGTTCCGTCGGTTTTATCTTTATCGTAGATCGGGCACGCTTTACGTGGTATTGCCTTATTCTAGTCTCGCGAACGACCAGTTCGATCGCATGCGAGTTTTCGAGCCGTTCGAGCTGTGCGAACATCTCGGGGAACAATCGTTATTGCCGTTATATCGTTATGAAACCGGCGCCACAAGACTTGCACGCATACATACACAAAGGAGGGGAAAATACAAATGAAACGGGGGAACTCACATATGGACGTTTACGCACGTGAGGGAACGTTTTACGATTTATTGGCGTCGAAATGGCGCGGACACTTTTTCTCTCACTTCCGTAGATTTATTTCTTCATATAAATCGAAGATGTATTGCATGGATATGATAATAAAGTCGTTATACAGCGTTAAACGTATCGCTACATATTGTTGATTTATTGGCAGAAAAAGATATTGGGGAGAGAAAAATATATAGAAGTGTCATATCAACATTTTAATATAAAACTGCGCGTTGCACATCTTCGATTTATGCGGGAATAAGTCTGTCGAGATGTATGTTTCTTATAGGTATATGCGAGCACAAAAAGTGTGTCTCCGAGACTATTTCGACGCCGACTATACATTCGACATTACACACACGGTTTTGTATGTACATACAAAAATAGCCGCCGAGAGCAGCAACGGCACGCCTCAAACGCATCGAAGTCCCCAAAGCGAAGTTCGAAAAGGGGATACACGCGAGACTCAGAAGAGGAAGAAGAGCAAGAAGGAGGACGTTTGCGAGGCCTCTGTCTCTCTCTCTTAGGGGACGTGTCGACCTCGCCAACCCTTCTCACAACGGAGCTGTCTCTCTCTCTTTCTTTCTCTCTGTGTCTCACTCATCTTCCTCTTGGTCGTCCTCCAGACGAGAGATGCACATAGCATGACTAACTACCATGACTAACGAGTCGGGTGAAGTGCCACCGAGAAATCTTGGCTAACCGAGCGAGAGAGGGTAGGCACGGTGAAATATTTTCAGGTCTAATATATTTCCAGCGGCGCACTATAGGGGTGGTGTCTTTTCCCATTTGAGCCCTCGTTTAACTTTATATATTAGATGGATAGATGCGGATAGAACGCAAAGACGCCGAAGATAATTAAAAACGCGTATTTACGAGTCAAATTGTTAAAAGTAGCGTCTAATTGAGTTTGAGTACGTGTATGCATTAAGAGAGAAGGTTTGCGTATAATAATCTGGCTCGTCTCTTGAATTTTTCTCATATTTCCGACGGTATCTTCGCTATTACATACTCGGAAAATGTAGCCCTTCCGTGTGAAAGGGTTGAGATTTTATCTGAGACGCTTACTTAGAGTCGTGGTGTTTATAATCGTGATACGCAAAGCCTCACAGAATTTCTGTACAAAATAAATGTAAACGAGTGCCAACGGAATAGGTCTTATAATTAGTTACAATCTGATCGGCATATCTTGGATATTTAAGATTTAAGATTAATCGGACGATTTAAATGAGAGATATACACACAGGATAAGACAGAGAGAAAGAAATGAGTGGAAATGAACGCTTAATGTTCGGTAATCAAAGTAGTAAATTGGATCGAATTTAATCTCCTCTGTTCCTCAATGCTTAAGTGACAAATAAACAAAGAAACATAATTACATACGTTTAATTACAAATTTAATTTTTGTTATTATATTGATAAATATTTAAAAAAACAATTCGATATATTCACATTTTTTTAATCCTTAAATACATTATTTTATAAAATTTAAATTTTGTAAATTTAAAGTAAAATAAGTTTATTACACATAGAGAGAGAGAGATATCAAAATAGATATGTAATTAGATTGATATAGAAATAGAAAAAAATTAAAAACTGCAGATCTCATATCTTTCAACGTATACACACAGGTATTCGAAACCGATCATAAAATTCGAATAAAGTAGAAGATTGAAACTTTACGGGCTCTGTTTCTCTTTCTCTCTCTTTTTCTTGCTTTCTTATTCTTTCTGTTTCTCGATCGGTCCGTCGTAAAACTCTTCGCATAATCAACGAAGAAAAGGCCGCCGACTTTCGAGTTAAACTGTGACGATCGATTGCGCATTCCACGTGGGAACTTCCAAACTTAGCGAGCCGAGGATGGACGACCCGTTTCGGCGGAAAGCAAGAGGATCCAGCTTGTAGGTAGCTCGTGATGCAGCTTGTAGGTCAGTGGACCGCACACGGAAAGCTCATTAATGGGGGATTTTCACTCGACGCTCCTACCGAGCCTCTCGCTTCGAGGGGGAAAATAAATTTTTCAGAACGTTCAGAGAGCGAGCCAGAACGAAAGCGATATCACTCACGAGGTCCAAGTAAGAGGAAACATCAATCTCGAATGTTTCGCCTAATCGCATTAAATCTAAACGACCTCGTAAATACAGTTTCATCGATCTTCCTTTTTTCCCTTTTTTTTATTTTTTTTTTTTTACACAAACTGTGAGTACTATCATTTTTTTAAACGGCTACCCAGCTCGTTCGACGCGAATGAACGCTGATGCGAATTGATGGCGATTGCCGACTATCTGGGGAACTGTTTCGCCGCGAGAACGGCGATTTCCATACATTTTTTATGAAACCATCCGCATATCGATCCGAGAACGAGAATTTTGCGTCTCGTTAAAAGAACACGAATCTCGTGGAAATTAACTTTTTAACTATATATATATAGATTGAAAGATAATTCTCATTCAGCGCGAATACAAACACAACAAAATGCTCTTTTAATACTCGACTATTAGATTTTTATAGCACTGTGTGTCTCGATAGAATCGAATCAATTGATTTTGACACCTAAATAATGAATTATATATATATTTACGTACGATAAAACTTGCTCGTAAAAAATAAGCCACTGAAAAAATATACGTCGCAAGATTAAAAATAATATTGTCTCAATATATACATACACACACGCGCGCACACACACACACACACTCTCTCTCTCTTTGACGGTCCAAAGTTTATCGCCTTCCGTCCCAAGATCTCATTTCGTTTCAAACGAACGAGCTGGCGAATTCGCAAAAAAGGGTGCCCTTAATCTCTCTCTTTAAATTCTGGGAAAGTTCGAGTCGCGGCCCGGGCCGTCGCGTCGTAAGGAAAATGCGATTCAGTAACGAGACTTAATCTCCGGGTGTAGCAAACTACGACTCTCACGGAGTTGCCTTACAAGTGGATCCAATTAGAAAGTTTTGCATATTCTGTTAGATTTCGTGGACGCGCGTGGTGCGTTTAGAGGCGTGCGCGAAAAACATAGAGATATATATAGGCTCTCTCAGGATCGCGTAATCGCGGATTCGCGTAACAACTTCCGTCGTCGGAGACTCACGTACGCGTTATTATTTTCTTCTTCTTTCTTTTTTTTTTCTTCCCTTTATCGTCGCGCAAGACGGAATCGTTATTGCGAATCGCAAGTACGAGTCTGTTTCGGTGATTCCCATAACGGAAACGTACGCACTTTATATATTCGTACTGCATTAAGTATATTTTCGTATTCAAAACGTAACATTTTTTCCAAACTTAACATCATAAATTAATAAATAAATATATATATTTATATATATATTTTTTCGTAAGTATTCGCTTATGCATTTTTGTATAAATGTGTGTCTTTTGTAATCTCTAAATATATTCGGTGTTAATGTGCTTACAGAGTAAAGGTCGTAACACACTATTATTGCTTTAATTTACAACACTTCGTACGAGGGATCCTCCCTTTGTCGATCGCAAAAGAGGGAAAAAATCGAATTTGCGTCCTATAACGTAATTTGCTCCCTTAAGCGTGTCTCGTGTGGAGGGACGTGTTAACACAATTTTTAGCAAACAACTCATTCTTCCTTTATTAATAGTGCTCATACGGTTGCTCAAATTTGCGAATTTTCAAGTATCTGGATACTCGTTTAATCCGAATGTGGCAAAAAGATATTTAACGTATTTACGTGTCTTTCGTTTAAATATTATAATTATTCAATCAAATATAAATATTTCCAGACCCAACAGCTTTACACATAATTAATATCAAAATCCGATAATTTACATATATCCGTATTATTCAAATAATAAATATTATAATTTATACAAATCCACACAATAATTAAATAATCAAACAAATATATTTATTTGAATCCAGATACTCGATTAGTTGGATTCTAAAAATAGATGTAATAAGAGCGCTATTATATTTATTAAGTCTTATAACGCAATTGATGTACTCGACAATAATTTAATTTAGCAAATCTCGAGCCCCGGAGAAGCTTCTCAGCCTGGAACGGACTTTTTACAAAGAGTATTAATCTCTAGGTAGCTAGTAATCTCTAAGAGGGCCTTAACCGACTAACACGCGACGCAGCTTTCAATTTGATTTGTCACTACGTGTTCAAACGAGTCCGAAACGCGAAATGAACATTCGCCCAGCAAAATCAGGTGCATTGCCACTGCATTCGCACTGAGCCAAACAGATTTCAACTCGTAATTCTCGAAAATAAATACGGGTCCTCTCGTTCTCTCCTTGCTTCTTTCTCACCGCGGTCCAGATATAATACAATACATATAACGTACTCTCTTACGTTCCCGCACAATTTACATTCCGAGTCAGATTGTGTTCCCTCAGTGAGAATGCATCCTGGCTCTTTCTCTCTCTCTCTTTCATACACATGCACACAAACACACACTCTCTTTCTTTCTCTCCCTTTCTCTAGTAGCGACGCAACTATCTCGGAAGACATTTCATTTTCACTCGTCCACGGTTGCTTCTGTTTGTCCTAGGGGTACAATTTCAGCGTGTCGCGTCACGGTCGCGCCGTAACCCGCCTCGATTTCTTACGAGCAAAACACGGTACATTCGCGCTCGAGCAACAGAATTTCAGGATAATCCGCTTTCCCGACGGCGATGGGATATCGATCATTTTCAAACGCCAAGTGGAAAGTAATGTCCACCTACATCGACGTTACTCTCGCGTCTTACTGCGGTACAAAATGTTCGAAACAGTAGTTGGACCTCGTTCCATTTCTTTACCTCTTGTTCTCCTTTTTTCTCCTTCCTCGTCGAATGGCAATATTACTATTGCTCAAACATTTAACCACTGTATACAACTTGCTTTGTTGGTCCTCGTATGCAATGAGATGTAGCGTCTTCAGCAAAACGGTAGCGCAAACATTCCAAGAATGATATCACACGTTGCTTAAATTTAACAACTGGTCGTGAAACTCGTCGCACTCCGGTGGTATAAATCTTTCATATTTCTGCACCATCCCTGCAATATATCTATATATATATACACACATATATATATATATATATATATATATATATATATATATATATATACACACACACACATATATATATATATACACACATATATGTATATATATAGTACACCGCAGTTTTCTCTCATCACATACGCAACGCGACGCTCGAGTAATCAAGACACCGAGAGCGTCGTCGAAGCAATAATCCCGAGACGTTTCGGACCGTTAAAAGCTCGCGATACGGAGTTGGCGCGGCGCATCCGGTTCGCCTTAACGACTAGACTATCCCCGAATTCGCCGATTACGGCTACAGAGAGCTGGACCCACGTGCTGATCCCCCTCACACGAAGACAACGTGCGGTTTCTCGGAAAGCGGCGGCGGCGGTGGCGGAGGCGGCGACTGACGCGACGGCTCGTAATCGTAATCGTACTCGTAATCGTAACCGTAGTCCAGCCGTTGTAGAGTGTTCGATCTGCCGGAAGGGTTGCGTCCGCGATAAAGCGACAACACTTCCGGCGGCTCGTCCCGCAGATCGGTCACGTCCGCCACCGCGTACACCCCTTCCTCCGTCAGTCGTTTCCCGTACGAAGGATCCACGACGTCGCAATGATGTCCGGGTCGGGCGTATCGCGGAGTCTCGTAGATGTTCGTGTCCTGGGACTGAGGGCTGCACTCCGCCGCGGCCTGCACCGCCGCCTTGCCACGTGGCGAATCGTACGACATGTCGTCGTTGTTCCTGGCCAACAGACGCCGACTGTAGGACTCGGCGTTCTTGTCCAGCCCATCGCTTCTACCTACGTAGACCAGAAACTCGGGACGATTCGACGCGGCGTACGCGAGCGACGAGCGTCTCTTCCTCTTGGTCCGGGTGACGTGGGCGATCAGAGCGAGCACGGTCGCGGCCGCCGCCAGGCAACCGACGGTTGACAATGACAGATACAGCGGGCTCATGCGACACCGCAGGGAACCCTCGGACAGCGTGATCAGAGCCTTGCCAGCGAACTCTTCGTCGCTGCAAATGATGTCGTGGGTATCCAGTTCGAGCCGCGTCTCGTTACGTCGCTCCTCGGCGCGTATCACGTTCCACAGCCAATGGACCGAGCAGTTGCACACGAGAGGATTGCCGCCGACACGTAGATGGGAGAGACCGTCGACCGGAAATTGCGTCGGTTGCAGAGTCGCCAAGCTGCAACGGCGTAACGAGACCCACCTGAGGTATCGAGCACCGTATAAGACACGCACCGGTAGCTCTCTCAATTCCCGATTGCCGTCCATCGAGATACGCTCGAGGTTCACATTGTCGGCGAACGCTCGCGCGTTTACGCTCGTGATCATGCAGTCGTTCAGTTCCAAGTTCCTCAACTCGAAGAGATTGCGAAAGGCCACGGCCTCTAAGGACCCGAGAGGATTCGTGCTTAAAACCAAGCTCGTCAGAACGCTCAGTCTGGCCAGGGCGGCCGTAGGCACGGACGTCAAATTGTTCCCGGATAAATCCAGATACAAAAGATCCGGTAGACGATCGAAGGCGACGTCGGCGATGCCCCTGATGACGTTGTTGGACAGATTTAGGGAGATCAATGATGGTAACGACGGCAAGGAGTCTCGATCGAGCTCCTGTATCAGGTTGTACGACATATCTATTCGCTCCAGACTTGGCGCTAGCACCAGATTATTCGTCGGTACCTCCAACAGCGAGTTCTCGCTCAGGATCAAAGTCCGTATCTTGTGCAGATTCGTCAGCAGATCGTCGGGTAGACTCGTGATCGAATTATTGCTCAGATTTAGCACTTCCAGCTCGCTGGTGTACTTGAACGCCTGCTCGTCCATGTGCGAGATGTTGTTGCCGGCCAGATGCAATTCCTTTAGAGACGTGAGTCCTCGCAGAGCGTTCTTCGCTAAAGTGTGAATCGCATTGTTGCTGACGTTTAACACGAGCAAATTTTGTTGCAGGCTGAAGTTCTCCTGACCCAGGGTGCGGATGAGATTCGAGCTGAGATCGAGGCTCTCGAGATTCCCGTAGAAGCCGAAGGTCAGGTGCACGTTGGTCACGCGATTCTTAGAGAGGTCCAAGTGACGGAGGTCCGGATTCAATTGGATCGGCACGACCTCGAGGCCGGCGTAAGCGCAAGAGGCGCGTAGGCTCTCGTCGTCGCATCGACATCGCGGCGGGCAGATGCCACTAGCCAGAGCTGTCATCACGACGACCATCGCTATCGCGATCGACAGCGTCCACGGCGGCGACGGCCCACGTGATGCCATTCCATATGAGCTTCTTCCGGACTGGAACTACCCTGCACAATAAGTAGACAACGGAACATTCATTACTGCTGCCATATGTTATGTAATAATTAGAGAGCCATGAAGAGTGTTATTGTATGGAGATATTACGAAGACAAGTTTTCATGAAAATGATCATGAAACCAAAATTATTCGTCGTAGCTAAATTTTAATTGGTCTTATATTACAATCTGAAATTTCATTATCAAATATTTTTATATCAATATTTTTTTTAATTAAAGACTATAAAACTGTCAAGAATTGAATTTTACATAAACAAATAATTTCCTTTATTTATTCCATCACAGAAAAAAATAGCTTGTAGTTATCATGCCTAAATTTTACCTGTTTTTTTATATTAGAATTTTTTTTTATTATAGACGATTAAAAACGGTCAAGAATTGAATTTTAAGCAAACAAATAAATTCCCTTATTTAATTTTATCATATAGAAAAGAATAGCTGGGAATTTACAATTAGTTATCATGCCTAAATTTTAGCTATACTAATTAATATTTTTAGCTATAGTTTAACGGATAATTCTAAACCAAAGATAGCTAAAAATATCAGCTATCATAGTTAAAATTTAGGCATGGTAACTAATTAAATTTCAGACTATTTTTTGACGGAATTAAATAAATACGGGACAATTTTTTAATCGTCTTTAATTTTTAAAAATATAAAAGCAATATAAAAAACAAAAAATATAACATTTTGTAATAAAAATAATTGTATAATTAATAAGATAAATTTAATTTAAAATTAAACAAATAATTTGTGATTCAACGAAGATACCGTTGTGGTCAAAAGGTTATCATCCGGTGCAACACAAACCTGTCCATTATGTGTGATTTATTTAGTGTCTATCTATGGTTCTAAAGCTATACACATACATAATATATCGCTTCGAAGCGCGATCGAGAGAGGAATTACTTCATCGCTCGATTCCAATTATCTCTTTAATGACCGATAGTTTAAATGATATTAACTGCATGTTAATTCTACATTTCAAAATACTCTATCAGAATTCTCTTCTTCAACAAAATGATGTAGTACTATCATTGCAATTAATTAGGTCACATGATAATATGAAATGATAATTACTCGATAATAAATAGGTAAATATTTTTTAAAGAGCATAAATATAAAGCAAGAGATATCTTGAAACATTGAGATACGATTTTACGTTCGCGGTTTCAATTTAGGAAATACCTATTACGTATCCTATTGTATTTATCTATATACGCAAGAACACAAAACATTCTTCGCTCTTTATACTATATATATATACATATATATATATATATATATATATATATATATATATATATATATATATATATATATATATATATATATATATAAACACACGTATAACGTGCGTGATTATATGAACGATATCCCTACGTTATGGAGCTGCAGTTTCAAATAAAATCCGCCGTTAGCTGAAAGACCTTTGTGAGCCGGGTAACTCGTGAAAGCGTAACTACCTTTTACGTTCACCGGTTTGCTACACAAGCTCGATGCAAGTTTATTTACGGACACCTGCACGTGCATTCGTGTTCAGATTTCGCGCTGCTTGCATCTCCTCCCGGGATATACATGTACGACACGGCGCAGTTTGTATGTCAACTTTTTTAATGCCCATCTGGAGGGTAAATAACGCCACCCACTCGTGAGTCTCGTGACAAAAAGAGAAATGACAAACCGGCTTCGAAAGAGAAGTGGAAATTAATTTTGCGTCCATGCCCGGCTAAATTTACTACGCCCGGCTAATTAAATCGTCAAGAATTTCGCTGTTTCACCTAACGACTTTGCAACGTTTTTATTGATACGCGATACCCACCCTCCATCGCCTGTTTCTGATGTCGAAACAATTAGATTTGATTAGTGCAAATTGGAACATATTGGTTCTGTAAAACATATATATAGGTATACAATAAAAATTTTTCGATAAAAGCTATTTAAGGCGATATTAAATAAAGTAAACTGACCATATCAATTCGAATTTATTATAAACGAGAAAATTCGGAATAATATATTGGGGAAAGCGTTATTGCTTATTTGCTTGACAAGTTTCACAAATTTCTTCGAAATTGACGAGTGTCAATTATATTATGAAAAAATATCGTAACGTTACATTTATATCTCAGTGTTACTTATTATTTTAAAAGACATATACATACACATAGGTATATGAACTAAGAGTACTTCTATTATATTTTAAAAATATTTTTCATATTACTTTATATAGCAGAGTATTTCCCTTGTAGCATCCTTAGAAGAAATATAGTGGAATCATCCCACGGAGCCTTTAAAGAAAGTTGGAGGAAACAAGAAAACGATACGTTTGCCAACGGCGCGTTTATTTCTTAGAACATGGTGCATCCTTCCTTGGTAAATTTATCCGTAAAACAAGCAATTCGACGAGTTGCTGTTCGTATTTCACGTGAAAGCACAGCGTACTCGGTCTATTGCGATAAAATTAAGACTTGGGAAATTTATTAAGTGACAGGATAAACAATGTTCGAGGTCTTAATATTTCGTTAAAACTCTTATAAAGACATTATGCTGAAATTCTCCGTTTTAGAAATTAGCAAATTAATACTTTCAGACAATTTAATTAAAGAAAAAAAAACCAATAAATGCGCAAGTAATCATTTTCATCTCTTTGCTCACAATTAATTCGTGCAATTAAGGTTATTTTTAAATAAATCAATGATATTTTATGTGCATTATATAGAGCTCTTCTTTTTAAAAATAATATCCATTTTATTCCTAAGCTCCATCGTAATATTCTTCCAAAAGCGGGAAATATAACGCGTTTGTAATCGACTTTGAAATTCTGGTTTAATATACGCATAGCTCGGCTGTATCGCGATTGAAAATCGATACTAGATTAGCCCGTCAAATTAACCGCGATTGTCTCACATAATCAGCCTTGTAATCGAACACAAAAGCACCTTGTACGCGGAAACACGGCTCGCCAGGAGGCATCGGATCAAAAACATTACACGTTGCAATCGTTCGCGTTATAAACTCGTGCCAGGAATGCATAATAATCGACGCATAGCGTAATCACATACGCGAGAGAGATATTACGCACTGCGCCAACGATAATTTCAATCCTACGAAACGAGAGAGCGAGATATCTTTGCCAAGTCCTCCTCTCTCTCTCTCTCTCCTCCGATACGTCCAGAAATTCCCCAATATCCTCGTTTCGGTAAGTGCTGCCTGTGCCAGTAATTTTTCACGTCTCTTTTTCCGCGCTCTGCCGGGGAATAACAAATGGCGCTGATCTCACTGTCATGTATAATGCACAGATTTACAGCATCCTGCTATCTGACGCAGCTATATGTCCAAAGCCGCCGCCCTCGCTCTGCTACACCCTCTCAGGGCGGCGCGCCATCGCGTTTTGCGAGAAAAAAAAGTGCCGCGAACGTTGACATCCGCGGCAAAGTAATATCCCGTATGGCGGCGCGCATCATTTTCTCCGGGAAATCGGGAGTCTCCCTTCTCTTCTTTTTTTTTTCTACCTCGTAACGGACGCGCCGAGGGGATGTTTTTCGGCTGGCGGAATATCGCCGTGAGGAAGAAAGTTGTGTTGAAGAGGGTGAAACGAGATCGGGAAGAAAGGGGAAAGAGAGAAGGAAGGTTTGCTTGAAGGAAGTTGATTGCGCGGGGAAATTCTAGGAGGATATCTTGCCCCGCGGTAAAAGCTGACATCGCTCTGATAAACAACGCTTGTCTACGACCGTCAGGATGATAAGAGTAAAGCCCGGGAATTAGCTCAAGTATCGCAACTTGGTATCTAGGTCAGCGGAAAGTTTTTATTTCGTTCCCTCTCTCTCTCTCTCTCTATCTCTGGTAACTCGTTAAGGATTTACATTTACGAGACTAACTACGTATAATCTAGTTCTGTGCATCGCAAGTTTCGTGTACGTAAGCTCCAACGGACGATTAAGTACCTGAACGAAGGTATTCTATTAGTGATGTACCACGGCGATAGAATATTTAGTGCGATATCAAAGATCGGTAATTGTTTCTGCGGAAGATCCCCATCGTTATATTATATCCTCATCGTAAAAGTGATATTCTTGCAAGCAGTAAAGTAGGTTTTACATTAGATCAGTTCATTCCGTTGCTTTTCCGCGAAGCACGATACTAATTGTAAGAGAGAATTGTAAGAGAAGAATGTAGCTCTTTACTATATCAGCGAAGAAAGAAAGGGTTTTCAAAACTTTGTTCGAAGATGCGATTCTCATCTAGAGATCTGTAATCATTATTTTAAGATTCCAAATAATTGTATGTATAATTGAATAAATCTGTATGCGATAAGATCTTTGCGGAATTAATCTTTTAGATTGATAATAGACTTGCATAATTTCCCCGAGTTTCAGCAAATAAATTTAATTATCTTAAATTATTATAATCTCACATCCGTATATACGGGCAGTTTATATAACCAGTTTATTATATCCAGGTATAAATTTGCAGCGCACGTATCATTATCATCGATATTTTATTACACGCTACAATTTATACATGCTACGTGATATTTTCGCACAAAGAATTCATAAATAATATCGTATACATAATTTGCGCAATATATTTACATGTTTATAACAGGCTTGTATTACACGATCGGTGTGAGCGGAATTAAAAACATTACATTATGGATGTCTACATATTATTATTATTATTATTATTATTATTATTATTATTATGCGATAGATATTTCTCGTCTGATAAATAATGCGGCAAGTAATTCCCGGCTGAAAAATTAATAAACATACTGACGTACACACAGTTTAATTCTCGATCGTCGAAGAAAACGTTTGGGATTCTCGAGATAGCCAAGTTAGATTGCCCCGTTTATCGGCTAAAGGCAAGCGTAAATAATAAATAAGACGACGCTTTCCCCCTCGTCGCGACAGACGACGAAATTTGCCCGGACATGCATAATACATGTGAAAATGGCATCGAGCTGTGGCAGCTAGGCCGCCAGTGGCTTC